TTTTTTTTTTTTTTTTTTTTTTTTTTAAGTAAAGTGTCTTTATCGTACCACGCATGGACATATCTTTCTGATATCATCTTCCGACCTGAATCTTTATCGTGCGTTAACCAGCGAGGCAAATGATACGCAAACTTGATACCTCCAATGATGCGGCAGAAGAATTTCAATTCAATGTCCGATCGACTTAACTCGTCAAATGTGACAAGGAAAATCGCTACTTTGCTACATCATTTCGTACGAACGACCAATTGGCAAATTAAGTGATTCTTAGATTTCCTCTTTCCTCGGCTTGACGACTGTATTACAATATTTAACAGGCAAGGAACGCGTAAGAATAGATTTAATCACAGCGAATGTTTTGCACTGACTACTAGCTATTTTTTTTTATGGGACAAGGAGAATGTAATAATTGCAAATTGTTTCTAGCTGGAAAAATAAAGAATACGACCTAGCCAAAGACAATAGCAAATTTCGAGAAAATTATAACATGTAATTTTACGCAGGACGTATGATATTCTAAAAATATACAATTCATCCGAGCATGCATATTTTTCTCATTGCTCCTGCTATTATTTCATTCATTTTTACCTTTTTCACACTAAAACCATACGTATGCCTCATTATAACAATACGTTTACGTTGACACTGCGATTACTGGTTCACGTATGGTTGCATGCTGAATTATATTATCCGCTGTGTGAAAGCAAATAATCGTCGTTTAACTCGCCTTTAAGAGGCGACACTTTTGGTTTGTTTGTTTGTTTTTTTTTTTTTTTTTTTTTTTTTTAATAAACTACCGAATACAAATCGATGGAAAAAAAAGTCTAATTTTTTGTGAATATTGCTCGTCAAACTCGACACTTGTAACAAAGTAATTCTGCCGGAATACGATAATAACGTAAATGAACGGATGTACGGAAGAGCGCGTAAGTTGAACGAATTCACCTAAGAGCGTGGTAGATATGAATCAGTACATTGCATGTGCGTACAACACTTTACGCATCTTAAAACCTCGTTTTCAGTTTAATCCAGATAATTTGGAACTTCGTTATTTACTTCGCCTTTCTTGATAGTCTGATTGAACATAAACGACTTGTATTTAAGTATACAGCGAACACCGATAACAGTCTGATAATACTACAAATTTAGATAATTTGCTACATTTGGCCAAAATTACCGAAATCTCTATGCGAAGCGTGTATTGTTACAACAAAGAAATAAATGATCCATTTCTAAAACACCTTGCGAATTGAAACGTCATGAGGATCCAGTGACCTATGAAAAGAAACAGAAGAAGAACATACGATGATGTGTAAGTTGCGGATGTTTGCGCAATCCTCGTGACGTTTATTTTGGATGGTTCAGGCTTTCGTGCGGCTTATCTCTACATTTTCAAATTTTCCCTACAAATGCGTAAACATCTGCCGTGTCGAATGGCGAAAGAATGACTCACCTTGTGAACAAGCAGCTCCTGCGGGGAAACGTAAGCGTTGTCCCCGTGTTTCTTGAGACAAGGTGGCCTGTCCGGTTGCCGGAGTAGTCTGCCATCCTGGATCACAAGCCCTCGATCTACTGCCCTTTTAGCAGACAACCTGAGCGCCGTTCTCAGATCACCCTCCGCCTCTTCTTCGACCGTGTGACTCTGTCTGATGTATTTCTCGATGTTCTTCAGTGTTGATCCCTCCCTTTCGCCTAACTCTCTGACAGCCTTGCTCAGCACCTTGCTCAAGTCCGAAGCTTTGCCTACCTTGAGCGGCTTCGACTGCAAGCCACCCGGATCTTTGTACGACGATTGTCCCTTATTAAAAATCTTGAGCACATCGCCACGTTTCACCGCGACTTCCAGGTGTTCGGCGATCTCCTCCTCGTGATAGTTATGGTGTTGACGAATGGCGTGGCATATCCGCTCGACACTCGGCCTTTGTTTCTGGCTGCGGATTTTTCGGATCGCGTCCAGGAACCAGGCCAACCACGTGTCAGCGGACTCGGGGTCGTCCATGGCTTGTCAGGGTCGGCCGTCTGCCGACGAAAGCGGCGGCGGCGACACCGGCGGCGACGTTCACGTACCAGGCCAGATTATATACACCCGATTGACAATGCCCGAACGCCTCCGGGTCAATTTTTACAGTCAGCCACCCCGGTACGGCTCACTCACATTCTTCGCGCTTGACAACTCTTTGCCTCGCCAAGATGTTTCCTACAGCTTGATGCTGCCTCACATCTCCATACGTCAAGGTCGCGCCACGCTTCTTATGCTGACCCTAAAAAACCAGAATATACCGATCAACCAAACAGTCTTTCTCTCTCGCTCTCTTTCCCTTTCATATTTTCCACTTGTTACAGTCAGTATATATATAAATTCTTGAACTGTTTCAGCTGTATTAATTAATCTGCGGATTTTTACTACAGTTAAAGATGCAAAAAGAATATTATAACATTTGTTGTACAATCTAAGGTCTTCCCATCATTTTCATACAAGTTACCCACATTTCCTATAATTTTTGCATCTTCAAATACAAATACATAAATCTCCCTAGCCTAGTGATAAACACACGTGTTTCTTGTATCTTTCG